TGAACTGTTCAGAGAGCAGAAGGGAGGAGTCTCGCTTTTCAGTCAGTAAATCAGTCTGTGCTTGTGAGTCTGTCGGAAAGCGAAGCAGTTTACTCTGCAGGCAGCTGTGTCCTCACGGCCTCAGTGGCTGTGCACGCCTGTTTCCCTGTCTCTTTGGGAATTGCTGCGTACCCTGCAGGCTTGTGGGGACAGGCAGTGCTGCCCTGGTGGCACAGACTGAGGCTCGAGTGCCCCTTGCCATGCGGCTGTGCCAAGCCAATGTCCTGCCACTTCTCTGTGGGTGCATTAGCCAGGGGTCTGCAAGTTCTTCAAGGGGTGACTGCGGGTCCACAGAATTGGGGGTTCTGGACCTGTGTGGTCCTCTCTTCTGCACGGTCCTGTCTTCTTGGTACTTTTTGGGAGTTCAGCACTGTTTTAAAAGCCACATGGCCTCGGACAAAGCCGGTAGTCAGCGTACCAGTGGGCGTAACACTAGTGTCAGGGATGCGGATTTACCAGCAGAGTGTCAGCTTGCAGGCACTAAAACCTGAAAATGTTGAGCAAGTTCTGGAAACAAACTTGGTGTCCCTATGGTGTTTGGAATTTCGTTGCTGTATCTGCCCGGCTTACCAAGGGTGCACGTTAGGGGTTTCCCAGGGACCTGGCAATGGTCTAGAGCACGTGGGCCTGAGCAGCCAACTCCTGGCTCTTTGTGTTGAGAAGTGCACAGGTGGCGGCCCAGGCTTAGTGTGGGAGCAACCAGGCACTCTTCAGTAGAACGCCAGCTCCATGTTGGTCTTGGGCAGAACGTAGAGGCTCCTAAGTTGTTTCATAGCGACAGAAGAGCCCTTGGAAGATGGCTGGAGCGAATGCTTCTGGGGACGAGGCAGAGGAAGCTGATGTTTTATACTTTAGTCAAATTTTGATTTAGAGGAAAAGAAAATTAATAAGGGCCCCCTTACCTCCTGCTGGCTCTCAGAGGCTGGCTATGGCTGACGGCTTTGCCTCACCCTTGCCTTTTCACCTGCTCAGCCTGGGGTGGCAGTCCCTGGTACCAGGGAGCTGCAGCCAGCTCTGGGTCACCTCTGGGTTGCCGCTGTGTCCCTCAGCCAGGCATCCCCCCACCTGTGTCATCAGGGTCGGAGGTGGGTGGGACAGGAGGAGCACAAGGGTGCAGAGCCCTGGGTGGTGGTGACCACTGTGGGGACTTCCCCAGGGGCTTGAATGCAGAGGGGTGGGCTTTCTGTGTTGGGGACACGGATTCTGCCATTTCTTGGTGCCTATGGGGTGGAAGCCCATAGCCCCATGCAGGGACCAGGTGTGGAAATCTCACGCCCTCATGCTTTCCCGCCCTCCCTCCCTCCCTTCAGGCAACATCAACGGCTGCCACCTGAACTACTACTTCTTCCTGCTGGCCGCTGTCCAGGGGGCCACCCTCCTGCTCTTCCTCATCGTCTCTGTGAAGTACGACCGGCAACGATCCAGAGCAGATGGGACCCCTGCCAGTGCCCGGGCCTGATCTGAGAGTCGCTGTGGCCCTGGACTGAGTGTGGGACAGTGGGCAGGCCTGGGTGGGCTTGTGGGCTGGCCGCTGGCCTTCTGTGCTCGCGTGCCGTCTACACCCTTCCCCTTCCCTCTGCCCCTCGAGCTGGTGAGTGCCTTCCT